AACTAAGAGAACAGGTCGGTAGTAAGAAAAGATTAATTGACCCAAGTACTTCATATAGGAAATAGAGACTAAAAAACTTGGTCAGACTGTTTAAGGTCTAAACGTGCTCCTCATCTTTACACAGATAGAGAATCCAGGACCCTCCTAAGGACTGGTGTCACACTCAGACACTGATGGCAGCTCCTCGTGACAGATTTGGACACGATGCTGAGCACAAGCACAAACAATTCTGAAGCCCTGCCTCACGCTGAGATGAAGAGGGAAGAAAGTTTGAGTGCTGGCACTCCCAACTTTTTGGGGTGTTTTTTTCCCAAGAGCAGATGTTTGCAGGAAGTCTGTATGACATCAGACTGCTCTGGTGTTTTGACAGGACACAAAATGTCCATACAGTAAGACTGCACAGGCAGCTGTCATTATTCATCCAGCATTATCTCTCAATGGAGTTATGGGTATATAGAGCATTTGTGTCACTGCCAATTAATCAGTTGTTGTCACTATCTGGTTATCAAACAAGCAATCTGGGAAATCTGAACCATTCCCACTCCCAATGGTGCAGATTCCTCTCAGCTTTCACGCTGTGTGATTAGTTCCCCTCTTCCCTAATGCTCAGAAACTACTCACCAAAAACTTTTTATCAGAAAAGAAACTTTCAGATGCAACTTTATAACGAATTTGCTCAGACTTACGGAAACGTCTATTTCAGATGTTTTATTAGCTATGCCCACGATGACTGGCACCACAACAAGCCCTGCAGTTTAGTTTGTGCAAAACTTGTTAGCCCACATCTATGTTTATAAAGAATTATAAAATAATATAAAATTATTAAAACATCTTTATAAAATTATAAAGATATTATAAAATTATAAAAACATCTTTATAAAGAATTTGCTCAGACTTACAGTAACATCTATTTCAGATGTTTTATTAGTTATGTCCACGATGACTGCAGAACTAACCCTGCAGTTTAGTTTGTGCAAAACTCGTTACCCCAAATCTACATTTACAGCTTTGAATGCTGATCTTCAGGATGGAGGAACTGAATTCCCTTGCCTGCTGAAGCACACAGGAAAACATCACACAAGGCAAGCAGCAATGCTGCTGAGTCATTAGCCCTGTTCAGTAAAACACAGCCACAATTTATGTTCAGTTTTCTCTCATTTGAACCACAGCTGCCATCCTGCACCACTCCTGAAGAACAAGACCTGCTGATGGTTATGAGGGGGAAAGTTGATGTAAGATACCTGCTTATCCAGAGGGATTTTACCTCAGTAATGCTCAGTAACAGTGGAAAGCTGAAACCACCTTTTTCCCCCCAAATGGCATTTTCGTCATTGAAAGTGGGAATGAGTGAATACAGAGGGCTGACAGACAGAGCTTTATCAGAGAACAGGTTCAAGCTTGCATCAAGGCAATTCCAGCATTTCCAGCCTCACCGCTCTGCTTCCTTTACAGCCTCTGACAATGCAAGGGTCATCTTCCATCCTCACTGAGGCACTGCTCTCTCTGTGGATCCTGGGAATCAAGGCAATCCCACATGGCAAATATTGTGGTCATTGTGCTTTTTTGAATGAACTGGGCAAAAAAATCCAAAAGACAATTAAGGAGGCAATGCAGGGTGTTCTGTACTATCATTAATCTGTATGGGGACTCAGAGGTGGGGAGAGGAACGGGAGCCTTGGATTCCAAATCCATCCCTGCAAGCCAACGGGGGACCTCAGAATGAGGGGCTGCATCTTCACTGACAGAGAGCTCCTCTGCCACAGGAACAACCAGGTGCTAGCTCTTCTTCTATAAATACAGCGTGCATTTCATTTGCAAAAAACAAAAACTGGATTTTGACAAGCAGGGATAAAAAAAGCACTTCCTGTTGATCTCACAGCACACTACTGAAGCCATGACCCGACTTAAAATTCTCTAGTGAAATAACAAAGACGTGTTTATTGTTCCATAAACAAACAAGAGACATTCCTTGGCTTTGTCCTCACTGAGATAACGCTGTGTATGGGATTTTGCTGGGAGCAACAAGCTGAGCATTGTGTCAGGTCCTTTGATCTCCCCTGCCTCAAGTACACAGAGCCTGAAAGATGAGTGATAGGGAGGACAGAGAGAGAAGGAAAGAGGGAACATGCCACTTTCCTGACCTTTTACTGCCTGATGGCCAGATGACACAGGCTGTGCAGGGAACACCAGAATTTTAAGATAAGCAGGGGAATGTCTGAAGTAAGAAGAGTTCCTCCTTGAAAGAGACTGCAAAGCCACTTAAAGGTGGGTTTGGACCAAAGCCATCCAAACATGAATCTTTCTTTATGAATCAACAAAGTCACCACTGAGCTAAACTGGATTTGAACAGAGTTTGGAAGGCACAGTCTTTCTAGTCTAGCAGCTAAGCTGAGCTCCATTCATGTCAGCATAGGTGGGCATCTGTTTGGAATCCTCTATGATAAAACCTTTCCAGACGCAAATCCAGTCTGACTCTCTCAAATGGCACCACAAGTTAAGAGGCATGCCCAATTTCTATCAGATAGACTGCAGTGGTAGCTAAAAATCACTGGTAAGATGTGAGGAAAAATCAGCTTCAGTTTATTTCTAGCATATACATGCCCCTAGAGATCAGATCTGAAAAATCCAAGAGAGTCTGCAAAGTCGGGAATCTGAGCCTCTCCCACTGACTGGCTGCCAAACTCTCCCTCTAACTCCAGACATGTAGCAAAACAACATAGGTGAATTTGGTCAATATTTTCATTTAATGTCCTCTGCACAGGAACAAGAGGCCTTTGAGGCTCTCAACTTTTCCATAACCTAAACTCATCCTAGGATCCTCATGCCTGCAGTCACTTTTGCACAAAGCCCACCTTTTAACAAGAGAACTGTTATTGTGATAGAGCCCTTTTAACCAGGGTTCTTCAGCCCACAGCATGCACAGATACAGCCCAGAGCTGCTCCTGAAATGAAAGTAAACCATCCTACCATCTCACTGGAGCACTGAGGCATTATTTTAGGACTGAATGACTGAAAATATAAGAATTAGAGTCAGTGTTGTTCCTGCACTGCTAGCTGGCTCCATGTTTGCTTTTCCTTTTTCCCTCCCTCTTGCTTCCATATGTCTGCTCATGTGTGTTTGGCTATTAAAAGCACTTTATCAATACTGCAACGCCTCAAAACTCATTTCAGAGGGATGACTTCTGTGGCTCCCATGATTCCTGAGCCGCCCACGGCATTTGTAACTTGGAGAATCAGAAACTACCACACAGACAATGTTGCTTTTCATACAAAGGCACAATGGGAACGAATGTATTAACCTCCGTGGTGCATGGAATGTGTCAGCTTACACACTGGCAGCTATTTCTGTGAAACTCAGCTCACTTCCGCTGGCTGCGGTAAAATAAAATAAAATAAAGCAAAAAAATAATGAAAAAAAATTCTTCCCCAGAGCAGTGTCCCACGCTCCAGCAGGCTGGCCAAACAAGTGGAATATGTGACGTGTGCTGCACACACAGGGCTGTGGGCCAGCCTGGGCTGGAGGATGCATCGCACAGAGCCCAGGCTGAGCCTGGTCCTGCAGGTACAGAGCTCTGCTGCTCCAAGCTCAGAGAGAGGGACATGCACTGCAGGGCACAGCTTGGGGCTTCTCTGGTTCTAGAACAGAGTGGCAACACAGACTCTGCAGAATCAGAGATGATTTGGATCTTGACTTCCTCTCAGTCCCAAATATTACTTGGCTTCCTCCTACCAGCCCAGCACACACAACAGGCAGCAAAACTCCCGCTGTGGCACTGGACACCACAAACCAAGGGCTGTGTGGCTGACCAGGAATATCCAGACTTGCTAGCATTAAGACCCATGGACAGCCTAATGCCTCCAAAATTCAGAATACTGACAGTCTCAATCAGATACATCTGGCTACCAGGTCAACTCTTTATTGTAGCTGAAAACAACTCCAACCCTTCAGTATGTTTCCACCTGTTCTCTCATTGTCCATGGTAAATTAGAATAATCACTAATTATCTGCACTACAGCAGTGCCTAAAATGCTCTGGGCACCATAAAACACAGTAGGGGGGGGCAGTTATTGCTCTGAAGAGCTTAGGGCCTGAAAGGACATAATCATGTTAACGACTTCTAAGCAGTTTAAAAGTGCTTGTCAGGACAGAGCTCTTCTGCCTGACAATCCATTCCAGCATTTTGGTGTTTTACAGCCTGCAGGAGGACGATCTAATGGAAAGCTGCCCTGGTTTCAGCTGGGACAGCACTGCCTTTCTTCTCTAGATGGTACAGTGCTGTGCTTTGGATTCAGGATGAGAATAATGTTTGGTAACACATTCATGTTTGGGCTGCTGCTCAGTAGTCCTTACCCTAAACCAAGGATTTCTCAGGTTGTGAGAAGCTGCACAAGAGCACTGGGAGGCAGCAAGGCTGGGACAGCTGACCAAAGGAATATTCCACAGCAGAGAATGTCATGTTCAGTTAATGAACTGGGGTCAACCACTGATGGGGACAGGCTGGGCACTGGTCAGCAGGTGGAGAGCAATTGTTTTCCTGGGTTTTATTCTTCTCTCTTTTCCATTAAAATCATTGCTATTACTAGCATTGCATTTTACTTGATACCAGTTGTGGAACTGTTCTTATCTCAGCCCCCAGGTTTTACCTTGTATTTCCAATTCCCACTTTTGGGAAGCCAGAGAGTGGCTGGGTAGCTCTGAGCTGTTGTCTGGGGTTAAACCACGCCAGCAAGAAAAGCAAACGTCCTGCTATGAGGAAACTCAAAGTACAAACCTAAAGGCAGTTAACTTGGCAACAGGGACACAAAAAAGCACCAAAAACTTGCAGCAAGGTGAGAGGACAACGTGTTATCACTTGATGACTCCTCTGCTCAAGATGCAAATTCCGTGCGCAGAGAACAGCCCGCAGACCCCTGTTAATTGCGCTGCGTTGCACAGGAAAGGAAAACTGGTTTTCATATTTACTTAACCTCTGCCTCCCCTGCATTGAGCCGGGACTTACCTGCAGTTGGAGAGGGCCTAGGCCCGGCGTTGCTGCGGCAGCAGCTGCCATGGTAGTTGGGATCAGCTGAACGGGGTAGGGGTCACCTAAGTAAGAGAATAATAGAGGCGTCAGCACCTTTTATCTGCTCTCCACCTGCAAATTAAAGTCCTGCATTCACTCCTTCCAAAAGCCTTCCTTTGTGTGCCTTGTTGAGGCCTAATGAAAAGCTCTATTGTGCAGCCTTTTACTAACACTCTTTTCACAATTCTGGCTGGGAGAGGAATGTGAATAAAAGGCACAAGCAATTAAGGCGGAAACCTCATCCTTTTTCATGATGTATTTAGGGAAATGGAAAAAAAAAAGTGCACATTGATCAGAAGGCTGCACTTCAAAAAAAGGAAAGAAAGAAGATGGGGGTGGAGGAGAAGAAAAGGAAAACAGTACAACCTTGATAAGATCACAGCATTAGAAGGGAACAAATTTACAAGCTTGTCCAAAATATGAAGTTAACTAAACTCCGCTCACTGTTAGCAAACTGAGCCTCACGCAGAGCAGAAATGGCACTCAACTGAACACTGTTTTCTTTCAGGGGAGAAAAAAAAATCTCACTTCAGTGGCAGGGTTTGATCCTGCAACAGGAAAAAGCATGTGAAGCTAAGGAAACCAGATACCAGCCTTTGAAATCCCTGCACCAACTCCACTTCATGGCTTGAGATTCCATTTTGATCCTGAAGGAAAACTACTTCAACTTTTAGTAAGAACTGCATTGTGCTTAATGAGATAAAGGGAGCCAGTAAAGGCTTTAAGAAAAATTGCAGGCATTTATAAAGGAAAATTACCTGAAATGGCAAAAAATTGAGATGGAGCCCAGCTCGTTTTAATGATATGGAGAGCTCACTTCTGGTCAACTCTAACACTTCTGATATGTTAAAATAAACTTCATACTGCCCCATCCCCAAAACTATGAAGAAAACTAGCAAAAATAATAAGAAATGTTACACACATTATATTGGTTATTCAAGTTATAAAGTGTTTTAATGCTTTCCACCCAAACAAGGCTCCCTAGAGCATTTCTGTATGTCCCTATGTTCTGATTTCTGTAGCACAAAAACACACTACGGAAGACTACGGAAAAAGCAGAACACTATATCAGGAAAATCTACCTAAATGTTGCTGAACATATCATTAAAAAGGTAGATTAAAATTTTCCCCCTTTATTGTGCTGTTTTGAAAGAACTGGGCAAAAAAATACAAAAAGACAATTAAGGACGTAATGCAGGCTGTTCCGTGAAATCATTAATAATTATTATTGAACTAAAGTTTCAAATGTTATCAAGCCTTAGTTGCAGGAAACAAAGGGAAATAAATCTATGTAATTTTTTTTTAATGTTAGAAATAAGCTGTGTTGGTTGTACACACATTCAGGTAAGTGGCTAATGTTTATTTTCCCTTTCTAAAATGTAACTTTCTTCAGTTAGACTTTGTCACTCAAGGATTTTGATCTCCTTCTATTAAGAATTAAACACCACAACTTCCAGTAATGGAGGACCAGCAGCAACTGGGCTGGCAAAGCATCCTAACAGATATTTAACCTAAATAAATGTGCCTGTTTATATTTAAGAACACCTTAAGTAATGCTTTGTTGACTGAAGCCATTCAGGGCTGGCCAGCCAAGCAATGCAACCCAAAATGTCCACAGACATCCCCATTACCAAGGGTCTCCGCCAAAACAATTCCATTTATTTATTTGTCAGTGGGCAGCTGATTTCCTGAGGACTGAATCAAAACCCTTTCTGAGCTGGCATTTTCTGGAGAGCTGCCTTGTGACCTGAGCAGGGGCCTCAGACACGGGCAGGCACAGAGAAAAGGGAACAGTGGCCAGAGAATCAGGGACAAAGGTGTCCAGCTGCTTCCCCAGCACCCCAGAATGAGCTCAGCATCATTCCAAAACTCCCTCCTAAAGAAGACGTTCTGACCAAATGACTGCCATGAAAGAAAATAAAATTTTTAGTTTTTCAACTGACAAAAAGAAGGAATGAGGGAAATTTTCACAGCAGGATGCGGATTCTTACAGTCCATTAAATTTCTAGTTCTGGATGATTTGTATTAAAACACAGATATTAAAAAATCAGCTTCCATGCACTCTCCCACATTTCTCTCCACACACAGCCTCAGTCCATCATGCCAATTCCTAAATCCCACTATTCCCACCAACAGCCCAGTGGAAGAGCCAGGACTAAAACCCACAGAGAGCTCCAGACCCAGGGAAGGTTCTGGAACTCCATCCATGAAGCACTCGGACACTGACACAGTGCAGGAGCACCTGCCAGCCCCCAAAACACCAGCAAAGAGCTCAGCTCTTGTCTGATAAATACACATTTTCTCCTGTTGCTCTAGAACATGCTGCATCTTTCATTGCATCCTTAAATTTATTCCCATATCAGAGTGAACTTATTGACTAAACAGTTTTAGCTAATTCTGAAACCTGGGAAATGCATGTCTTAACTATTACATTACATCTTATTTTTAGATGTAAGAAGTAGCTGCATTTCTTCCCAAGCTCTAGGAGCATTTCAGGAATGTGAGACAAGACAGGCAGTTCTCAGAAATGGGCATTTCCCAAGCCACTCACAAGTCTGTAACTCTGAAAACACCAATAAAACCTCAAACAACCATATTGCATTCCCATTTCCAAAATTCATTATTAATCAAATGCATGCAGGCAGGAGCAGCTTTCAGCCACCAAAAGAAACATTTTGTGCAGTCATTTCATGTTCCAAACTACCTCTCTTGTTATGTGTGAACTTTTTGCACAAACAAAGCAGCAGAGAGAAGTTTTATTGTTGTTTTCCTTTAGTAGGCCATATGGTAAAACACGGAGCAGATCAAAGGCTGCGATTTTTATGGTGACAACAAGGTAAAAACCATTTCATTAGCTGGTGCATTATTGCCTAATACATAATTATTTCCCAGCTAGCTGGTGACATCACTTTGAAGAGCAGAACTCTTCAAGGCTGGCTGCATAAAGAGAACCCAGGATTTGTGCACTGGGGATGCAGCAGCTGCAGAAGGGAAGGGGAAATGCCAGCCTGGGGGAGCTGAGGGGGGAAAATTCATGTGAAATATTAAAATACAGAGGAATCTTATTGGTGCCCTCTGTGGGCAGTGCCAGAGCACGAGGCTGCGTCCTCAGTTCTGTGCCAATACTTTATTTCTCTCTCTATCCTTCTTCTGGTCCATCTTCCACAAACATACCCAGAACCTCCTTCCTGATAATTTATGCACTGCAACTTCTTTCAATTCCAAATCACACCTTCATCCTTGCCCAAAATAATCTTCCAAGATCTTGCTTACAAGAGGATTTTCCATGAAGCACATTCACTCCCAAACCACTCCTTCTATGAACTCTCCTGCGATCCTCACTGAAAACCCTTTTCTGCAGAGTTAAGTTGAGGTTCAGAGCCAAGGGGACATCCTGTCCCAGCACACAAAATAACAAAATAATAATTCCTGTGTTTAGGAACTGCATTTTCAGCTGACTGGCTACCAGCTCACAGGTATGAAATGATTCTGTACTTGTGGAAATACAACAATGCCTCTATAACCATTTATATGTTTTGCAAAATTTTATCAAAGGAGTTTTTAAAGTTAAAAAACATTAGGACTTTTTTTTTTTAAAGTGAAAATAAAGCATAAGAGTTAACATGATGTCTGTTGCACCATTCACCAAAACCCTAAAGATGTTTTTTGTATTCCTTTTTCTGTCACTCATCTCATTTATTCTCCTTCATGGTGCAATCCCCCCTAGTGTCTTGTCTTGTCTCCTGACAGGCTGCAAGCTCTTCAGAGCAGGCACAATTGTCTTACTTGCTATATAAATCAAGTTACATGCTAATGTTAAATTATAATGTTTTGACAGGATTTTAAAGTTGAACCTGATTATATGAAACAATAGAACACTGATTTTTTTTTTCCCCTGAAATTTTCTTTTCTTAAAAGAAGGATATCAGAAGAGGAGAAGTAGGGCATTTATTGCCTGTGATTTTTAAAAAACTCATTGCTTTTCTCCTACCTATCTTTCAGGGACAGCAAATGAAAAAAGGTTGGAGACCATGGAAGAAGAGAAAAGAAAACAGTGTAAAGAATATGAAGAGTAGGAAACAAAACCTAACTCTTAAATTATATTTTCCAAGACCTGCATGCTAAACTAAATTCCATGAAAAATACCAAAATAACCATTTTCTTACAGTACATTCTGTTGACTGAAAATGAGTGCTATGTTCTCTTCCCCCCATTTTTGACAAATTCTAGAAAAAGCCACAGTAATTTTACACTCCATTTATCACTTAAGTGCATTTATAATGAATAATCACAGCTGATGGCCAGCTGACAGGTAAGGCACTGCATTTCCTCTCCCCACTCATTTATTCTCAGCCTCACTTTCCTCTCATCCTCTTGGTGAGATGGTGGACATGCAGGAAAAGGAATGGGAAGGCATGAGCAGTGCTCCCTGACTTATGGATTTAAATTAGTAAGAAAAAGAGTATGAAGAAGACACCACCAGTGGCTTCCAAAAGGAAATCCCAGTTGGTTCAGACCTGCCCCACAAGGACAGCCAGATGTTGAGATGTGCAAACAGCTGCACTCTGTCCTTGGAGCTTGGCAAGCTGAGTAAAGCCCTGAGTGGTCTGAGCCCACCTCCTTGAGGACCCTGCCTGAAGCACTGCAAGCCTTCAGACACCCCTGCCAACCACAACAATCCATGATTGCAGAATGCTCATTTGTTAATGGTTCTGCTATACCTGTAGAATAAATTCTGCTACTCAAAAACTCCAGCTTCCAAGGGAAGCCAAAGTATTTCCACAAGGGTTTGGACATGCTCATAAATTTAAAAATCCAGGACTTTATTCCGTTGCCCAGCTATGGATAATGGTGCAGTTACACCAGACATTGTTCATGGCCTGGACACTGAGCTGGAACTCCCAGCCTGTTTTACAGGTCCCCACTGTTCTGCTTGGGCTTTGGAATTCTGAGGAGAAGCCACACAGAGATGGGGAGCTGTGCAACTCTTCCATTTAGAAACAGCCTTCAGTTGCGTTCTATT